ACACACACACACACACACACACACACACACACACACACACACACACAGCTGTCCTCACCTTGGCATAGATGCAGCTCTCATTCAGTTTCTGGAGCATGCAGCTTCTCTCACACATTGGGCACATCAGGATCTCTGTGGCTTGGCAGATTTCTTTGCTGAAAAATTTAAATAAGGGGAATTAAAAAAAATGCAAATAACATACCAAGCAGAATCTTTATGGTCTTATTCACATGAGATACAGAAAAAGAACATGTTTAAAAGAAAGAAAAGGAAGGCAGTGGTAATTAAGTTCAATGCATACATTTTGTGGCCTAAGGAATTTTGAAAACTCTACCATAATTGCTGACATTTCTATAGCACTTCTGAGTTACAAAGAGTTCTCATCATAACCATTCTCTGAGATAGTTGGGGCCAGGACTTCTTATTTCTTTTCTTTTCTTTTTTTTTTGGCTAGGCAATAGAGTTAAGTGACTTGCCCAGGGCCGCATAGCTAGTGAGTGTTGTGTGTCTGAGGCCGGATTTGAACTCAGGTCCTCCTGACTCCAGGGCTGGTGCTCTATCCACTGCACCACCTAGCTATCCCTGAGGGCTTCTTATTTCTGTTTAGTAAATAGGGAAATTGTGATTTATTTCAGAGCTGAAACTTGAACCCAGGTATTCTGAAGTCACAACCATTGCTTTTTACCATGGAATGACTGCTCAGGTTAACACACACTAGTAAAAGTGATACTGCTCATAGGAAAGAGTGTAAAACATATCAAGAAAATATAAAAATGAAAATGAGGTGAACTGGTCATGTAAGTGAATGATAGTTAACAGAGTCAGACTGAATACCAGAATTGGTACTCATGGAGTGTTGACAGTCAATAGTCAGTCAATAAACATTCATTAAGCATCTATTATATGGCAGGCACAGTGCCAAGTGTTGAGGATACAAAAAAGAGGCAAAAGACATTCCTTGTCAACAAGGAGCTCACAATCTAATGGGGTAGATAAGTAAACAAATGCGTACACCCAAACTACATACAGAAAAAAGAGAAAATGCTTTAAAAATGAATGGCACTAGAATTAAAAGGGGATGGAGAAGATTTCCTGTACAAGATAGGATTTTAGCTGGGACATAAAGGAAGGTAAGAATGCCAGTGGGAAGAGATGAGGAGGAAGAGCAATCTAGGCATGGGGGACAGCAAGAGAAAAAGCCCAGAATTAACAAATAGAATGTCTTATTGGCGGACCAACCAGGAAGTCAGTGTCACTGGACTGAAGTAAGGTAGTAAGATGCGTGAAGACTGGAAAGGTAGGAGGGAGCTAGGTTAGGAAGGGCTTTAAATAACAAACAAGATTTTGTATTTGATCCTGGAGGTGATAGAAAGCCACTGGAGTTTTAGTTTTAGTAGGGGGGGGTGACATGGTCGGACTTATGCTTCAGGAAAAGCTGGTGGCTGAATGGTGGATGGACTGGAGTGGGGAAACCCTTGAAGCAGATAGTTCCAACAACAGGCCATTGCAATAATCCAAGTGTGAGATGATGAGAGCCTATGCTAGGATGGTGGCAGCATCAGAAAAGAGAAGGGGGCATATTTGACACAGGGTGCCAAGGTGAAATCCATGGGAGTTGACAACAACAATGGCTGTGTGCGTATGAGAGAGCTAGCCAGGAGTCAAGGAAGATAACTAGATTATAAGCTTGGGAGGCTGGGTGTATGGTGTCACCCTCTATAGTAATGGGGATTTTTTGGGGGGGAGAGCAGGGTTTAACAGAAAAGGTAATAAATTTGGTTTGGGGCATGTTGAGTTTAAGATGTCTGGGGGCCATCCAGTTTGAGATGTCTGAAAAGGAATTGGAGATCCAAGACTGGAGATAAGCAGAGAGGTTGGGACAGGACACATAGATTTGAGAGTCATTGGCATAGAGGTGGTAATTAAATCCTTAGGATCTGATGAATGGAAGGGTTCCACTGTGTTAGAAATATGTCTTAGGAGAGATTGGTAGAACATAGGCAAAAACTGTACAGAAAGAAAAGATGGGTAGACCATTGGATGAGAACTTGAAGCCACTGGAATATTCAGATAGGTATTTATCTTTGTGGCTCATGATATTTACTTCTTTAGCGTTTTTTCCCCTTTCTCTTTGTTCATCTTGTCTTTATATTTCTTTATGCCTTTCTCCCATAATTGCCTAGCCTGTGCTCTCCTCTCTATTTACCTACCTAAAAGCTTCATTGATGCCTTTTTCTTAATTACACCACTATCCAATTACTTCTTTATAATGTCACTGTACAATGTTGCCAAAGACTCTTTTCCCTGTGTTCCCCCTTCCTCTATTCCTATAAGAAGCTCTTTTCTATTAACAAAGAACACCAGGATAAAACAAACCACCATGTTGACATCAACTTTCAAGGCGGTCTGATGTTCATGACCTCTTGATTCCTCATGAAAATACTCTGAAATATGGGAAGGGCAAATATTGCTATCCCCATTTTTCATAAATGTGGAAACTGAGGCTCAGAGTAGTTTAACTAGCTGCTCAACGTCACAAAGAAAATAATTGGTAGAGCTGGTGCTGGAACCTAGACCTTCTATTCTCCTCTGTACAGCTGCATGGTCACAGAAAAAGACTGTCATCAACAATTAAGAAAACATCCTAAACTATACTGTGGGAAGCAGGAAGTAAAGTTGTCATGGGAATTGATGGAACTGGATGTTTTCTCTCTCTCAGCACCATCTACCATTGTGGCCTGACTTGATTGTTATTTACTTATTTACATGAAGATCTCTCTTAGAACATACCATTTCAGTTCATGGAGTTCATTAGTGTTATGCATCTTAGTTTTTATCTCAGCCCATGGAGCAATCCAAGCATAAATTAGAGATGGCTTTAGTAAAGATCAGTAACAAACAAATAACTTCCAAAATACCTTTGAGCCTGAGAACATTCAGTGACATTGTGTGATGGAGTAGCTTCTTCTTTCACTTTCAATTGTCCTTCAAGTTGAAACTTGTTCAATAAAATCCAATTCAATTCCATAAACATTTCTTTTTTTCCCCATTTACTTGTTTATTTATTCATATTCACTTATTTATCACATTCAATCAGTAGTTGAGATTAGTCAATTCTATCTCCACATCATCTCACATCAGTCCCCTTCTCTCTACTCCCATTCTCATAGTTCTTAACACCTCTGCCTGAATAAGCTGTACTACCCAATGGTTTTTCCCTATTTCTAAAAATATGTTTTAAAAAACAATTATTTTTAAACATTCTTTTCTTTTTAAATTTTGAGTTTCAAATTCTTTCCTTCCCTTCTAGGCTTTCCCAACCCATCAAGAAGGAAAGCAACATAATATCAATTATGTAAGTGAAATCATGCAAAATATATTTTTATATTAGCCATGTTGGTTCTTTTAAGTAAGAAAAATAAAAGAAGAAAATTATACTTCAATTTCCGCTCAAGAATTCATAAGTTTGATGGTGTCTGAATGCAGATCAAAGCATACTATTTTTTATTTTCACTTTCTTTATTTAATTTCTTTCATATTTTTTCCTTTTGGTTCATTTCTTCTTTCACGCATGACTAATATAGAAGTATGTTTTACATGATTGCACACATATAACCTATATCAAATTGCTTATCATCTTAAAGAGGAGGAAGGTGGGGAAAGGAAGGAGAAAATTTGGAACTCAAAATTTTTAAAAATAATGAATGTTAAAATTTACCTTTAAATGTAATTGGAAAAAATTAAGTGCTATTAAAAAAAGAGGTCATCAGTTCTCTGTCTGGAAATGGATGGCATTTTTTTCATCATAAGTCCTTTGGAATTGTCTTGGATCATTGTATTGATGAGAGTAGCCAAGTCTTTTGTGGTTGATCATCACTACAACATTGCTGTTATTGTATACAATGATCTCTTGGTTCTTCTCACTTTACTTTGGATCAGTTCATATAGGTCTTCCCAGGTTTTTTTGAAATGATCCTCTCATTATTTCCCATAGCACAGTAGTATTTCATCATATGCTACAACTTCAATCATTCCCCAATTAATGGGCATCCCATCAATTTTAATTTTTTGCCAGCCCAAAAAGAGCTTCTATAAATATTTTTGTACATATAGGTCCTTTTCTTTTTTTCTTTGACCTTTTTAGGATATAGACCTAGTAGTGATGTTGCTGGGTCAAAGGGTGTGTACAGTTTTATAGCTCTGTGGGCATAGTTCCAAATTGTTCTCCAGAATGGTTAGACCAGTTCACTACATCAACAGTTCATTACTGTACCTATTTTTTCCTCATCTCCTTCAGCATTTATCATTTCTGATTGTTATGAAGTGGTACCTTAGGGTTGTTTTAATTTGCCTTTCTCTAATCAATAGTGATTGAGAACATTTGTTCATATAATGATAGATACCTTTGATTTCTTTTTCTGAAAACTGCCTGTTTATTTCCTTTGACCACCTCAATTGAAGAATGGCTCTTACTTTTATAAATTTGACTTAATTCTATACTCAGTATATATCTGAGATGAGGCCTTAGAGAAACTTGATCTAATTTTTTTTTTATATTACTTCATTGTCTTAGGTACCTTTTAGCAAAATGTAGTTTCCCTGATAATCTCTTTTAATTAGGTTATTTTTGCTTTTGCTTTTTCTGAGATCCTGATTGCTACCCCTGACCCCTTGCCTTTTTTAGTTTAGCTGAAGCATGTTAGATTTTGCTCCAGCCCTTTAACTCTGTATGTTTCAAGTGTATCTCCTGTAAAAAACATATTTTGGATTTCTGGTTTCTAATCCATTTTGCCATCCACTTTCATTTTATGGGAGTGCTTATCCCATTCACATTCTTCCCTCCACCTCATTTAAATTTGCAGTTATGATTACTTTGTTTTTCCCTCCATCCCATTTTCTTCAGTTATTTTTTCTCTTTTTATTTTGTTCTTCCTTAGAAGTCTATTTTGTTTCTAACCATTACTTCCCTTAATCTGACCTCCCTTGTATCATCCCTCCTCCCCACTTTTCTCTTATCCTCTTCCCCTACTATTTCACTACTGGGGAAGTTACATTTTTATACACAACTGATTGTGTGTGTCTGTGTGTATATGTGTGTGTATATATATAGTGTGTATATGTACACATATGTAAATATGTACATACTACACACATA